CGGATCGCTTTGTAATTCTTAGCTCTTTCGGTAAAGTCACGTTGAAGGGCAACAATAAAATATATATAAAACAATTCTAGATTTGAAGCTTTCGTGACTGCAAGGATTCATTATTTTTGGTTCTATTCGGTAAAGTCACGTGACTTTACCGAATAGAACCAAAGAGTAGATATAAAACAATAAAAAAAATTCTCACGACGTTTCGACCATAACACAAACGGTCATCATCAGGTGTGAAAAACCAACGGCAAGAAACATTTCGGATCGCTTTGTTTAACACGCAGGAGGCTTTCACGACCAATGTCATCCACAATACAAGGCTTTCATCTTCTTGGTTCTTTCGGTAAAGTCACCACGTAGAATGGAAATAAAATAAAAATAAAACGTAATAAAATAAAATTCTCACGACGTTTCGGCCACAACACAAGTAGCCTTCTTCAGGTGAAGGAACAGAACTGTCGGGACGACAGCGCTTCAATGAACACTGCTAAGCTTCGCAGCGTCTTTTAAGCTGAAACGTCGTGAGAATTTTATTATGTTTTATAATTTTATTTCCATTCTACGTGACTTTAGCGAAAGCACCAAGAAGATGAATGCCTGCAGTCACGAAAGCTTTAAATCGAAATACAAGGTTTTTTGGGGGTTAGATCGCGTAAATATCTAAATGTGTCGTTAAACCCGCCACCACCCGACACAGCCAACTACCAGTAAGGTTTGTCACATCAACAGAACGTGGCCAATTCGTCACTAGTACAGCAACACCGGTGTGTTGGAGAGCAAATCCACAACATTTACAATCTGAGTACGACGTTTCGCCAGTAATTACAACTAGCTTCTTCAGGCGACAGCCAGATTTGTGGAAAAATCCTTCTGTTCCTAAATATGATTTCTCCACAAACTGTTTCCACAAATCTGGCTGGTCGCTGATGAAGCTAGTTGTAATTACTGACGAAACGTCGTACTCAGATTGTAAATATCGAACACCCCGGTGTGCTGTACTAGTGACGAATTGTCACGTTCTGTTTACGTGACAGACCTTACTAATTGGCTGTGTCGGGTGGTGGCGGGTTCAACGACACATTTACGCGATGTAACCCCCCCCCAAAAAACCCTCGATTATGATGTATGGGTCGCTTTGTGTCCGCGACGGAGCGTGGAGCCTTTCGTGAGGCGCAGCTTCTCCGACTCGCCAGGAGAGGGCGACACAGCTCCGACTCTCCCCGTGTCTCCAGTTTATTCTGTGACAAGTGTCAACGTCATCTGTCGTATTGCTGTCGCTGATATCACTGGCTGTAACATGTGTCTTCTGTGATCTGAGTACACGTGATATGTGATATATGTCTCTCTCTGTTATCAATATCGGGAGTATCAGTAGGTGTGGGGGCAGACCCAGGTGCCATGGGTTGACTGACTGAGATGACCGGCAGATTCACCACTTGTGCACCCTCCTGTGTCAATTTGCTGTGTTTTATCCGCCCGGCGCTCCCCTCGTTGTTGTGAGCGTCGCTCCTCTACCCTCCGTTTTTGCTGGAGGGCGACTCCCTCCAACACACACTACTCACCATACACACCACTCACTCACCACACTCACCATACCACTAAATCACCATACACACCACTCACTCAATCATCACTCACTCACCACACTCACCACTCACCATACCACTCATTCACCATAATACTCAGGCACTCACAACTCACCGCAACCATCACTGTACACCCCACTCACTCACTTAGCACATCACTATCCACGTGCGGTCACTTTGCGCGACTTTGTGCGAACAAAAGTGACGTCATTGGACACCACGTGACACGTGATGTGAGTGACCAAAAATATATAAATCGGAAGTGGTCGACGCAATATCCGGAAACATTCAAAATTAAATCTGAATTTAACTTATCAATGTGGATAGACGGATACGTGAGGGAGACGCATTGCTTAATTAATTTTGTCATTTATAGACTCCACAACGACGCGGATTCTTCGGTCATTTAATCCAAGTGATGTCATTGTTCCCCCCCGTGACGTCATATATTCGGAGTCGTCCGAAATAAATGTTGCATTTGTACCACGGCCAGAAATTCCGAGGTGTAAATTGCGACAATCGGGAATAATTCTCCTGTGCATTCCGACTTGCGCTCGTGCCAACCACACGCACTCAAGGGACACGGTGACCCCTACGAACAATAACACACAAAGACAAAGATCCCCCGTGTAGGCTTAACAGACTGCTGGGGCAAGTGCTGTTTGCGAGCAACTATGAAGGCCGGCACGGCACACGAGGAAGTGGGCGAGCGGCCAGCACCACTAGTGGCGATGTTTAGAAACTCATTTGAGGCTGAGTCGACCTAGAGGAGGCCCAGGACTGGCTCAGATAATCGTCACTGGTGTTAGCCATGAGCGGGAATTGAACTCGGGAAGCCGGGTTCATAGCGCAGGGTGCTAACTGCTACACGCACACACAAGCCCGGTGCGTTTCTGACTGAAGCACAGTACTGTATTTGATTCCAGTTGAGTTTGGTTGAAATGCAACATCTGATATATATGAAGTATATTCGACTGATCTCTGATGCGTGGATATCACTGACTTTAGAATTGACTGATCACCTGTTTGTGCATGATCTGTTTGAAGGATCTGAATTCGCTAATAAAAGGTATGAACTGTACTGTGACTTGAAATATCTCAATTTGTTGACAGAATTATTCGATTAATGATTTATTTGATTTGCTTATCTTTGATTTCTCTTGGTCGATTAAATTCGTTGGTAGATTTCCGATGAATAATTTAAAATTTGGATGAGGCCACGTCATGATCTGAACACATGTGTGACTTTAAGAATCCTCCACCACCCGACAAACCGCCAAATAAATTGCCACGTGGCACACGCGTTTAAATTGGCACGTGCTACACGCGTTTAAATTGCCACGTGGTACACGCGTTTAATTTGCCACGTGCTGCACGCGTTTAAATTGCCACGTGCTACACGCGTTTAAATTACCACGTGCTGCACGCGTTTAAACTTCCACGTGCTGCACGCGTTTAACTTGCCACGTGCTACACGCGTTTAACGCTCTCATTTAGTATACACATTCTTGGGTGATGCGTTGGCAGTGGTGTAGAAGCATAATTATTTGTATGTGCCATGAAGAAGGGCCGTTACCCGAAACCTCGCATATTATTCACATCGTATTTTCTATGAATGTATTATGGTACCAGTTCACCAATAATTTGAAGAACAATTCTCACAACCAAATGCAGCCATAGATATAGCAATGAGTAAATTCCTTGAAACTCAAGTCACAGAAATGATCACCGGTTGCCTCGTCAACAGAATAGGACGGGGACACGGTGGTGGGGGGGGGGGTCAGAGAGGGGGGAGGCGGGGTGGGAGGGGGGCAGGGTGGGGGGTGGAATGAAAAAGGTTGGGGGGGGGGGGTCGCGGGACTCTTAGTCCCACTCAGTTACACTCCAGCACAGCGGCGTCACTTTATCGGCCCTCGTCGAGCACCCGGGCTGATTGGTCGTTGGCAGCTCAGACATTGGTGGTCACGCGACAGCCGCCGCACGCGGTCGGCTAGGCGCATCGGAGCTGAATTTTCCACGCGCGGCTCCGGTCACCACTGCCGCTGGGCACCGCGCGCCTCGCAGCGGTAGCAGCGACTGAAGGTGAAGTTCGACTCCTCGGTTGTATGTCGTTGTGGTTAGGGGTTAAAGCGGTACCCGCATTGGGGTTATAGCTATTCACAAGTTAAGGGTAGAGCTGTACCCACGTTAGAGTTAATGGTAACGCTGTACCTATGTTGTGGTGAGGGGTAGAGCGGTACCAGCATTGGGGTTAGGGGTAGAGCCATTCAGATGTTAGGGTTAAATCTCTACCCATGTTTGGGTTATGGGTAGAGCGGTACGCGTGTTAGGGTTATGTGTAAAACTATACCCACGCTGGGGTTAGGAATTGAACTATATCTATGTTGGGGTTAGGGGTTGAACTATATCTATGTTGGGGTTAGGGGTTGAACTATACTGGTGTTGGGGTTAGGGGTTGAACTATATCTATGTTGGGGTTAGGGGTTGAACTATATCTATGTTGGGGTTGAACTATATCTATGTTGGGGTTAGGGGTTGAACTATACTCGTGTTGGTGTTAGGGATTGAACTATATCTATGTTGGGGTTAGGGGTTGAACTATATCTATGTTGGGGTTAGGGGTTGAACTATACTCGTGTTGGGGTTAGGGGTTGAACTATATCTATGTTGGGGTTAGGGGTTGAACTATATCTATGTTGGAGTTAGGGGTTGAACTATATCTATGTTGGGGTTAGGGGTTGAACTATATCTATGTTGGGGTTAGGGGTTGAATATATCTATGTTGGGGTTAGGGGTTGAACTATATCTATGTTGGGGTTAGGGGTTGAACTATACTCGTGTTGGGGTTAGGGGTTGAACTATATCTATGTTGGGATTAGGGGTTGAACTATATCTATGTTGGGGTTAGGGGTTGAACTATATCTATGTTGGGGTTAGGGGTTGAACTATATCTATGTTGGGGTTAGGGGTTGAACTATATCTATGTTGGGGTTAGGGGTTGAACTATATATATGTTGGGGTTAGGGGTTGAACTATACTCGTGTTGGGGTTAGGGGTTGAACTATATCTATGTTGGGGTTAGGCGTTGAACTATATCTATGTTGGGGTTAAAAGTTGAACAATATCTATGTTGGGGTTAGGGGTTGAATTATACCCGTGTTGGGCTTAGGGGTTGAACTTTACCGATGTTGGGCTTAGAGCTGTACCCATGTTGGGGTTAGAGCTGTACCCATGTTGGGGTTGGAGTTATTTGGGCTGGGCTTGGGTTGGGCCCCCCTCGCCCGCCCGGCCTCTCAGCGCGGGCCCCGGCCACGGTCACCGCCCCCGGCCCCGTTTACAAACAGAGCCGCCCCGGGCCACGCGGTCCCCTTTTGTTCAGTCCCCCCCCCCCTCCCCGGTGGTCTCGCGACGCGCGGATCCGCAGACTCCACTGATCCCTCCCCTCATCTCCGTGTCTCCCCCCACCCCCCACCGTGGAAGCTACCTATCGCTCATCTCCGTGTCCCCTCGCGCGCGTCTCCCTGTGGACCCTCCACTGATACCGTATCCCCTCCTCTCTTCTCGTCGCTCTTGTCTTGCCCCCACCACCACAACCTCGCCACCACCCCCCGCCGTGTCTCCCCACGCTCCCACAAACCCCCCGTCGCGCAGAGTCGAGGCCGAGCCGAGCTGCGCGTGCGTGCGTGCGTGCGAGCGAGCCCCATGGCCGCGCTGTTGCTGTGCCTGACTCTGCTGGCCGTGGGGGGGCCGCGGACCCCACGAGTCGGGGCCCACTCCACGGGGGCCGCCGCGGGGGTCGTCGCCGCGGCCCCCCCGCGCACGGGGCTCATGTTCGCGTCGCAGCAGAACCCCCCGGACCCGTGCTACGACGAGCACCGCAACCCGCGCCGCTGCATCCCCGACTTCGTGAACGCGGCGTTCGGCAGGGAGGTGCTCGCCTCCAGCACCTGCGGGAAGCCGGCGTCGCGCTACTGCCTGCCCGCTCCAGCCACCGCTGCCGCCGCACAGGGTCCCGAGCCCGTGGCGTCGGGCTTCCAGGGTTCCTCTCAGCAGCAGGGCTCGCCTGGAGGAGCGGCGGCGGTGGCCGTCACGGGGCCGTGCTTCGTTTGCGACGCCGGCGACCCGCGGCGCTCTCACCCGCCCGCCTTCCTCACCGACCTCAACAACCCGCACAACCTCACGTGCTGGCAGTCGGCGAGCGGCGTGCAGTACCCGCGCAACGTCTCGCTCACGCTGTCCCTCGGCAAGAAGTTCGAGGTCACCTACGTGAGCCTCCAGTTCTGCTCGCCGCGGCCCGAGTCCATGGCCATCTTCAAGTCGTCCGACTATGGCCGCACGTGGACCCCCTTCCAGTTCTACTCGACGCAGTGCCGCCGCGTGTACGGCAAGCCGAGCCGCGCCGCCGTCACGAAGCAGAACGAGCAGGAGGCCCTCTGCACGGACGCTCACCTGGCGGCCGGCGGCGGCGGTGGCGATGGCTCGGGCCCGGGAGGCCTGGTGGCTTTCAGCACCCTGGACAGCCGCCCGTCGGCTCACGACTTCGAGAACAGCCCCGTGCTGCAGGACTGGGTGACCGCCACCGACGTGCGAGTTGTGTTCAGCCGCCTGCACTCGGCAGCGGGACCCGCCGCGGACGTGACCGGGCAGGAGTCGAACTCGAGCGGCGCCGACTCGGCGGTGGTCGATGCCCTCTCGCAGTACTACGCCGTGTCGGATTTCCAGGTACGTGGCGGGATGGGCGTTTGTTTGTTTGTTTTTGTTGCGTTCTTTGACTGTATTTTATATTGTGTGTACAGTGTTGAGATGGATGTTTTCCACCTGCATAGTTCCGTCTCGTTTGCAACGGTGTCGCAAGGGACCGGGGGGGAGGGGAGGGTAAGCGACGCGAATATTAAAAATATGTAACCTATACATGGCCTATGCATTACCTATGCATTCGATGCAACGAATATCGCACGCAGTCAAAGGCATCGCACGTAACTGTGAATAATTAAATGATGGTGCACATCGGCAGATCGGGTGGGAGAGGCGAGACCGCGAAAGAATAACAACGATGCCCTTTATTTATTTATTTACCCAGGGAAGCCTCGCTGAGTCTCAAGGCTATGTTTACTTAAACTATCAACGGAAACGATGGCTTTTAATTTACCGGGTAAAGGCCCACTGAGCTTCATCGTTCTCTTTGAGAAGCGACCTGGCCATCACAAATGATAGCTCAGCCAAGTTGGCTTATCATGGGGGAATTTAAAGAAGCCAAATACTCTAAACGCACGTTGACTCTAAATGTGGAGGGGAAAACCGGAGGACCCAGAGAAAAATCCACGCGACCACGGGGAGAGAGACACACAAACTCCAAATATACAGCAGCAGGCGTCAGGGTCTGGATCGAACCCACGACCTCCTGTACACAAGGCGAGGTAGTCAATATCTCCAAGCCACCGTGGCGCCCAGGAGGGTCCTGCTACGACACTGAGATTATTATGCAATTCAGTAAATGAGAGTTGCGGCTTCGTGTGGGAGAACCCGGAAAAAAAACCCCCACCACTCCGTAATACGTGGGGGAGACGCTCAAAGCTCGGCAGAGATGCATTTAGTAATCCATTGCTGCACCGCTGTGTCCTGACCACCGCGGCCACTATAACCGAGGACTTGCCAGGCTTAATCCCCCTGCTTAGCTTGCGACGTATCCCGGGAGATCGGACGCGTGTAGGGTGATTGTACTGCAGGCGAATGAATGGCCCGGGAGCTACGGGCAACACGCATTGTTGATTCTAAGGGTCAACAAATGGGAGACTGAAGCGGGGGGGGGGGCACCAACTCATTTGGGGGTCACCCACATTTCACCAGAATCTACAACCTCAATGGCGCAACTCGACGAGTGAGCTGAGACTTTGTGAAAGCAAAGACGAGATCCGGCGAGAGGGAGGAGGCGATGACGCTGTGCAGTGGCGGTGGTGGTGGCCCTGAAGGTCATTGGTCATGATGACCTCGATAACTTGACCCCGCGGGAAGGGAGCGTTTACAGGGACTGCAAAGCACGGCTGATACACATGTAGCCGGGCATGTTCCATGGGTTAGGGATGGTTTATACTCAAGGGGCTGCATAGAACAAAAGCAGGGATATTTATACACATGGTCAAATAAACAACCGGCACTCTGTACGATGTAAACCTGGCCAGCGATCCAAAATAACCACGTTATGCACGCCAATGTGGCTTTTGAATTAGAAAAGATTGGGAAAACACGGAAAGGGAGCACAGCTGTCGGTCACAATGACCGGAGTCGAGCACCCGACAGAGTTTGACCGGGACTCGTTTCCAACACCACGGCGGGTCTGTTCGTGTCAGCGTCTTCATTTACAATCTGCGCACCTTCGCCTCCCTCCTCTTCCCTCCTCCTCAACCATTCGCTGGCAGCAGCCGCAGCTGGGAACCTCATCCATGCCTTCGGCCGCATCCCGGCTCTACGATTGCAACTCCCTCCTCTCTCTGCGGCCTCCACCACATCCTCGCCGCTGGCCACACGCAACGAGACCACCACCCCAATGATTCATTCCCTCTACCGGTATCCCAATCCAGTCCCGGATAAACGTCAAGATCATGCTCGCAATCTTCCTGATCCCTTGCCTACCTCTCCCCTCTCATCTCACTCTACTCCCCTCCACGCACTCTCCTACCGCACCGCTATCATCTCACTCCCCTCCCCTCCACACACTCTCCTACCTCTCCCCTCTCATTTCACTCTACTGCCCTCCACGCACTCTCCTACCTCTCCCCTCTCATCTCACTCTACTCCCCTCCACGCACTCTCCTACCTCTCATCTCACTCCACTCTCCTCCACACACTCTCCTACCTCTCCCCTCTCATCTCACTCCACTCTCCTCCACACACTCTGCTACCCCTCCTCCTTTCGTCTCTCTTGACTCCTGAGCGAGCCACGACTCAATCCACTGCTGGATGAAGGCCTCTCCAAAGCAACCAACACGCTGCGAAGTAACGATCCTTGCACGTGTTTTTTTGTTCTTCCTCTTCTCCCGCTCAGCCTCCCTGGACGTCGTCCTGGCCACGCTCTTCCCCTCGGGCAGTGCGTGGCCTGCTCAAGGCCGACCTTGAGCACGCATCGGTGGACTTGGCGACGATAAGCGACGTGTCTCAATCCCCGGCGAACGATTATTTCGTAACGACGAGTAACCTCCCTCCCTCCACTTTACACCTCCCTCCCTCCACTCCCTCCCTCCCCACCATCGCAGGTGGGCGGGCGCTGCAAGTGCAATGGCCACGCTTCGCGCTGCGTGCGCGACCGCGACGGGGGCCTCGTGTGCGACTGCCGGCACAACACGGCGGGCGCCGAGTGCGAGCGCTGCCGACCCTTCCACTACGACCGTCCCTGGCAGCGCAGCACGGCCCGCGAGGCCAACGAGTGCGTGGGTGAGTGCGTCGCCACCGCGTGTGTGTGTCGTCACAACGTGTGTGTCGTCACAATGTGTCACCACTGAGTGTGTCGTCACAACGTGGGTGTCATCACAACGTGTGTATCGTCACAACGTGTGTGTCGTCACAACGTGTGTGTCGTCACAACGTGTGTGTCGTCACAACGTGTCACCACTGTATGTGTCGTTACAACGTGTGTGTCGTCACTTGTGTGTCGTCACAACGTGTCACCACTGAGTGTGTCGTCACAACGTGTGTGTCGTCACAACGTGTGTATCGTCACAACGTGTCACCACTGAGTGTGTCGTCATAACGTGTGTGTCATCACAACGTGTCACTACTGAGTGTGTGTCACCACCGCGTGTGTCACCACTGAGTGTGTGTGCCACCCGTGTGTGTCACCCGTGTGTGTCACCACCGCGTGTGTCACCCCCGTGTGTCACCTGTGTGTGGTGTGTGTGTGTGTGTTAGTGTTGTGGGGATTGGCGGCACGGCAGTTAGCACGCCGCGCTACGAACACGGCGGCGAGCCGAGCTCGATTCCCGCTCGACACGACCACCGACGTCAACACCGGTGGCGAATGTATGAACCAGGTCCTGGGCCTCCCCTAGGTCGACTTAACCTAAAATGAATACCTTTGGTGCGGTGTGTCGTAAACATCGCCACTCGGGAGACAAAGGCGGCCGGGCGTGGTGCTGGCCACCTACCCCTTCGTGTGCTGTGCCGACCTTCGTGGGTGCCACTCGCCATAGGCATTTGCCCCGACAGTCTGTTACAGGCTACACGGGGGACCTTCACCTCTCTTGCCTTGGCATGCGTGTGCCAATGTGTCAGCGGGCGTGAGAATTTTATGCGCGCAGATCGCAGTGGTACTCTGCGCGCTCTCGCTCCTCCGCTCACTCGCTCGCTCACTCGCGCGCCTGCGTAACGCCAAACTCTCGCCTCTCCCCCCGCGACCCCGAGCCTGCAACTGCAACCTGCACGCCCGCAAGTGCCGCTTCAACATGGAGCTCTTCAAGCTGTCGGGGCGCAAGAGCGGCGGCGTCTGCCTCAACTGCAGGCACAACACCGCCGGGCGGCACTGCCACTACTGCAAGGAGGGCTACTACCGTGACCTCGGCAAGCCCATCGCGCACCGCAAGGCCTGCAAGCGTAAATCACGCACCGCGTGTGCCCCCGCGCTACCCCCAAAGGCCCCCCCCCTCCCTGCGGGAACTGAGCCCTCAGAGGGGGTCCTCGACCCTCGAAGGCAGGGGTGGGGAACGTCCGGCCCGCGGGCCATATAAGGCCCGCGAAATAATTTAGTCTGGCCCTGCCAAGGCAACCGCATGCGGGACTCGAAATTCAATAAATCTAGGAGCAAACCTGGGAAAAGCAGTTTGCGAGTAGCAACATCGTCAATACCAGCTAACATCATCACACGCCTCGCCAAAGAGAAGCAGTTCCAGCCATCGCATTAGCGGTGAGTTAATTAAATGTTTGACCAAATATAACAGGCAAATTTTTAAGTTGATAATTTTGTATGGCAGAAAAAGGTTCCCCACCCCTGCTCTAAGGGGCGATTTTAAAATAGAAAACTGTAAACAGTTTTTTTTGTTTACGAGGTAAAGCTCCACTGAGCTATGCGGCTCTCTTTATTTTATTTTTTAAGCGACCTGGCCATCACAAATTATTGCTCAACGAAGTGCCTTCGTCATCATCACGTGGACATTTATAGCAGCCAAATACACTAAGCGCGTTGTTAGTTCTAAATGTGGAGGGTAAAAACTCAGAGGAGGACCCGGAGAAGAATCCACGCAACCACGGGGAGAGAGAGACATGCAAACTGAACTTATAATTTATGATAGCCAGGTCGCTTCTGAAAAAAGAGCTATATAGCTCAGTGGGCCTTACCTGATAAAATAAAAATAGTTTTTAGTTTGCAAGGGTGTCTGAGGATGTCTATTGTCTAGTGAACTTGCCTCGTGGTCACCTAGGTTGTAAGAGTTGCGCGTTTATTACATTACGCCTCGCTCCGTCTCAACGCGGACCGCAGCACGGAGTCGCAATGAAGTTGAACGTGGCTCTGCAAAGTTTGTGCGACCTCATTTTTAATTTGTTTTGTTGCACCAAGCAACTTGCGCTCCGATTGGCTGTGGATGCAGACGCGTTGTCGCCGCCACGGTAAAACGAATTCCAACAGGGGCTGAATTGTTATCCCAATATCATTGTTTTGAGGTGAGTTTTAAAACCCCCAGCTAAATTACATTTGATCAGCTAAATTACAATTTAATCTAAATAATGCTCAGATTTTCATACTGGTCAACCCCTTATCAGTGCCTAACTTATTATAGACCAATTCAGGCTTTATTGGTCACCCCGTGCCCTAATGAACCTCAACGTTCATCCTACAAAGTCCCATCACAAGGGAGACACACAGACACAATTAATTGTTTTGCCCGTATTGTGAAACGGCTGTAATGCAGCACGGACCCGAAAACTCAGTTTCTCTGTACAAGAATAAGGGGAAACCATATGGGTTGACAGGTATGGATTTTGTTCTATTCAATCTTGATAAATAACCGTGCAGTGCCTAGTCAACGTTTTATTCATTGGCCTAACAAGGCCACTTTGCTTCCCTAAACGGCCAGCGGCAGAACCGGTAGGGGCCCGCAATAAGAGCGTCGCGAGTTCGAACCCAGGGTTCGCGAAATGAGTACCGCTTTCTTCGGAAGCTAACCCCTCCATCGCAGTAAACCACAAATTGACCGCCGGGAGTTGCCCGCGACTCGGGAGCGTGACGCTCGACCCTCTTGTGTCTGCCCTGCCCGCGTTGGGGGGGCCCCAGCGTGCGACTGTCACCCGGTGGGGGCCGCGGGCAAGACGTGCAACCAGACGACGGGGCAGTGTCCCTGCAAGGACGGGGTCACCGGGGTCACCTGCAACCGCTGTGCCAAGGGCTTCCAGCAGAGCCGCTCGCCCGTCGCGCCCTGCATACGTACAGACGCGCGCGCCACGCGCACGCACGCCACGCACGTACACACACACACCACACATTGCACACACGTGCCATGCACACGCGCGCGCCACACACGCGCACACCGCACACACGAACTCACGGGGCCACGTGCGCCCCACGCACACCACATGCACTTTCCCATGTGCACACTGCATGCACACCACACGCACCACACGCACACACCAGACACACACCAGACACACACTAGACACAGGCACACACCAGACACACACACCAGACACAGGCACACACCAGACACACACCAGCCACACACTAGACACAGGCACACACCACACACACCAGACACAGTTACACACCACACACACACCACACACAGGCACACACCAGACACACACCACACACACACGAACACCAGACACAGGCACACACCAGACACACACTAGACACAGGCACACACCGCACACACCACACACCAGACACAGGCACACACCACAAACACACACCAGACACACATCAGACACACACCACATACACACACCAGACACACACACACCAGACACAGGCACACACCACACACACCAGACACAGGCACACACCAGACACACACCACACACCAGAACACAGGCACACACCACACACCGCGTGTTCACCGCACTGTTGCCCTGTAGAGAGAGAGTAGGTGTCTATGTGTCTCCGTGTCTATGTGTCTCCTTATCTCTCTGTCTCCGTGTCTGTGTCTCCGTGTCTATGTGTCTCCGTGTCTTTGTGTCTCTGTGTCTCCGTGTCTATGTTTTATCTGTGTCTCCGTGTCTCCGTGTCTCCGTGTATCTGTGTCTATGTGTCTCCTTGTCTCTCTGTCTCCGTATCTATGTGTCTCCGTGTCTATGTGTCTATGTGTCTATGTGTCTCTGTGTCTCTATGTCTCCGTGTCTCCGTGTTTATGTGTCTCCGTGTCTATGTGTCGCCGTGTCTATGTTTCTCTGTGTCTCTGTGTCTATGTGTCTCCGTGTCTATGTGTCTATGTGTCTCCGTGTCTCCGTGTCTATGTGTCTCCGTGTCTCCGTGTCTATGTGTCTCCGTGTCTATGTGTCTCCGTGCCTATGTGTCTCCGTGTCTCTGTGTTTCTGTGTCTCCATGTCTCTGTGTCTCTGTGTCACCGTGTCTCCGTGTCTCTGTGTCTCTGTGTCTCCGTGTCTATGTGTCTCTGTGTCTCCGTGTCTCTGTCTCTCCTTGTCTCTGTGTGGGAGTCTCTGTGTCTCCGTGTCTCTCTGTCTCTGTGTGAGAGTCTATGTGTCTCTGTCTCTGTGTCTCCCTGTCTCTGTGTGGGAGTCTCTCTGTCTCCGTGTCTATGTGTCTATGTGTCTCTGTCTCTGTGTCTTCGTGTCTCCATGCCTATGTGTCTCCGTGTCTCTCTGTCTCCGTGTCTATGTGTCTCTGTGTCTCCGTGTCTCTGTGTCTCCGTGTCTATGTGTCTCCGTGTCTATGTATCTCCTTGTCTCTGTGTCTATGTGTCTCCGTGTCTATGTGTCTCTGTGTCTCTGTGTCTCCGTGTCTCTGTGTGGGTGTCTCTGTGTCTCCATGTCTATGTGTCTGTGTCTCCATGTCTATGTGTCTCCGTGTCTATGTGTCTATGTGTCTCCGTGTCTATGTGTCTCTGTGTATCTGTGTCTCCGTGTCTCTGTGTCTATGTGTCTCCGTGTCTATGTGTCTCCGTGTCTATGTGTCTCTGTGTCTCCGTATCTATGTGTCTCTGTGTCTCTGTGTCTCCGTGTCTCTGTGTCTCTGTGTCTCCCTGTCTCTGTGTGGGAGTCTCTGTGTCTCCGTGTCTCTCTGTCTCTGTGTGAGAGTCTATGTGTCTCTGTCTCTGTGTCTCCCTGTCTCTGTGTGGGAGTCTCTCTGTCTCCGTGTCTATGTGTCTCTGTGTCTCCGTGTCTCCGTGCCTATGTGTCTCCGTGTCTCTCTGTCTCCGTGTTTATGTGTCTATGTGTCTCCGTGTCTCCGTGTCTATGTGTCTCCGTGTCTCTCTGTCTCTGTGTCTATGTGTCTCTGTGTCTCCGTGTCTATGTGTCTCCTTCTCTCTGTGTCTATGTGTCTCCGTGTCTATGTGTCTCTGTGTCTCCGTGTCTCTGTGTGGGAGTCTCTGTGTCTCCGTGTCTCCGTGTCTCTGTGTCTATGTGTATCTGTGTCACCATGTCTATGTGTCTCTGTGTCTCCATGTCTATGTGTCTCCGTGTCTATGTGTCTATGTGTCTCCGTGTCTATGTGTCTCTGTGTATCTGTGTCTCCGTGTCTCTGTGTCTCTGTGTCTATGTGTCTCTATGTCTGTGTGTCTCCGTGTCTCTGTGTCTCCCTGTCTCTGTGTGGGAGTCTCTGTGTCTCCGTGTTTCTCTGTCTCTGTGTGAGAGTCTATGTGTCTCTGTCTCTGTGTCTCCCTGTCTGTGTGTGTGAGTCTCTCTGTCTCCGTGTCTATGTGTATATGTGTCTCTGTCTCTGTGTCTCCGTGTCTCCGTGCCTATGTGTCTCCGTGTCTCTCTGTCTCCGTGACTATGTGTCTCCGTGTCTCCGTGTCTATGTATCTCCGTGTCTCTCTGTCTCCGTATCTATGTGTCTGTGTCTCCGTGTCTATGTGTCTCTGTGTTTCCGTGTTTCTGTGTGGGAGTCTCTGTGTCTCCGTGTCTCCGTGTCTATGTGTCTGTGTCTCCATGTCTATGTGTCTCCGTGTCTGTGTGTCTCTGTGTATCTGTGTCTCCGTATCTCTGTGTCTATGTGACTCCGTGTCTATGTGTCTCTTTGTCTCCGTGTCTCTGTGTCTCTGTGTCTCCCTGTCTCTGTGTGGGAGTCTCTGTGTCTCCGTGTTACTCTGTCTCTGTGTGAGAGTCTATGTGTCTCTGTCTCTGTGTCTCCCTGTCTGTGTGTGTGAGTCTCTCTGTCTCCGTGTCTATGTGTATATGTGTCTCTGTCTCTGTGTCTCCGTGTCTCCGTGTCTCTGTGTCTATGTGTATCTGTGTCTCCATGTCTATGTGTCTCTGTGTCTCCATGTCTATGTGTCTCCGTGTCTATGTGTCTATGTGTCTCCGTGTCTATGTGTCTCTGTGTATCTGTGTCTCCGTGTCTCTGTGTCTCTGTGTCTATGTGTCTCTATGTCTGTGTGTCTCCGTGTCTCTGTGTCTCCCTGTCTCTGTGTGGGAGTCTCTGTGTCTCCGTGTTTCTCTGTCTCTGTGTGAGAGTCTATGTGTCTCTGTCTCTGTGTCTCCCTGTCTGTGTGTGTGAGTCTCTCTGTCTCCGTGTCTATGTGTATATGTGTCTCTGTCTCTGTGTCTCCGTGTCTCCGTGCCTATGTGTCTCCGTGTCTCTCTGTCTCCGTGACTATGTGTCTCCGTGTCTCCGTGTCTATGTATCTCCGTGTCTCTCTGTCTCCGTATCTATGTGTCTGTGTCTCCGTGTCTATGTGTCTCTGTGTTTCCGTGTTTCTGTGTGGGAGTCTCTGTGTCTCCGTGTCTCCGTGTCTATGTGTCTGTGTCTCCATGTCTATGTGTCTCCGTGTCTGTGTGTCTCTGTGTATCTGTGTCTCCGTATCTCTGTGTCTATGTGACTCCGTGTCTATGTGTCTCTTTGTCTCCGTGTCTCTGTGTCTCTGTGTCTCCCTGTCTCTGTGTGGGAGTCTCTGTGTCTCCGTGTTTCTCTGTCTCTGTGTGAGAGTCTATGTGTCTCTGTCTCTGTGTCTCCCTGTCTGTGTGTGTGAGTCTCTCTGTCTCCGTGTCTATGTGTATATGTGTCTCTGTCTCTGTGTCTCCGTGTCTCCGTGCCTATGTGTCTCCGTGTCTCTCTGTCTCCGTGACTATGTGTCTCCGTGTCTCCGTGTCTATGTATCTCCGTGTCTCTCTGTCTCCGTATCTATGTGTCTGTGTCTCCGTGTCTATGTGTCTCTGTGTCTCCGTGTTTCTGTGTGGGAGTCTCTGTGTCTCCGTGTCTCCGTGTCTATGTGTCTGTGTCTCCATGTCTATGTGTCTCCGTGTCTATGTGTCTCTGTGTATCTGTGTCTCCGTATCTCTGTGTCTATGTGACTCCGTGTCTATGTGTCTCTTTGTCTCCGTGTCTCTGTGTCTCCCTGTCTCTGTGTGGGAGTCTCTGTGTCTCCGTGTCTCTCTGTCTCTGTGTGAGAGTCTATGTGTCTCTGTCTCTGTGTCTCCTTGTCTCTGTGTGGGAGTCTCTCTGTCTCCGTGTCTATGTGTCTCTGTCTCTGTGTCTCCGTGTCTCCGTGCCTATGTGTCTCCGTGTCTCTCTGTCTCCGTGTCTATGTGTCTATGTGTCTCCATGTCTATGTGTCTCTGTGTCTATGTGTCTATGTGTCTATGTGTCTCCGTGTCTATGTGTCTCTGTGTCTCCGTGTCTCCCTGTCTCTGTGTGAGAGTCTGTGTCTCTGTGTCTCCGTGTCTATGTGTCTCTGTCTCTGTGTCTCTGTGTCTCCTCTTCCAGGGATCCCGGTCGTGACCTCCGTCCACACAGACAATGGCGTCGGGAACCCAGAGAAGCCCTCAGGTGGCGTCTCGAGTTCAATCTCACATCGCCACGTTACCTCACGTTACCTCACACACGTTACCTCACACACGTTACCTCACACACGTTACCTCACGTTACCTCACACACGTTACCTCACACACGTTACCTCACATGTTACCTCACACACGTTACCTCACGTTACCTCACACACGTTACCTCACGTTACCTCACGTTACCTCACACACGTTACCTCACACACGTTACCTCACGTTACCTCACACACGTTACCTCACACACGTTACCTCACGTTACCTCACACACGTTACCTCACACACCTTACCTCACACACGTTACCTCACACGTTACCTCACACACGTTACCTCACACACGTTACCTCACGTTACCTCACACACGTTACCTCACACACGTTACCTCACACACGTTACCTCACGTTACCTCACGTTACCTCACGTTACCTCACACACGTTACCTCACACACGTTACCTCACGTTACCTCGCGTTACCTCACACACGTTACCTCACGTTACCTCACACACGTTACGTCACGTTACCTCACACACGTTACCTCACGTTACCTCACGTTACCTCACACACGTTACCTCACACACGTTACCTCACACACGTTACCTCACACGCGTTACTTCACGTTACCTCACACACGTTACCTCACGTTACCTCACACACGTTACCTCACGTTACCTCACGAGACTCTGCATGGATCCTGCATTGGCAAGTTTTTTTGTTCCGAGTACCCCGAGGAGGAGGGGGGGGGGGGGAACCTTCCCCCTTGAGAGTTCCGCACAGATGGGTTCACGAACCCGCTCGCTGGCGCCGCCATCTCCCGGCACCTCCTCCACGTTCACGACCAAAGCCACCGCCACCACCGCGGGGCTGATGGACGAGCGATAGAGAGAGGGGGAAGGAGAGAGATGGAGAGAGATAGATGGAGAGAGAGATGGAGATAGATAGATGGAGAGGGAGATGGAGAGAGAGATGGAGGGAGATATGGAGAGAGATAGATGGAGAGATAGATGGAGGGAGAGATGGAGAGAGAGATGGAGGGATAGATGGAGAGAGAGATGGAGAGAGAGATGGAGAGAGAGATGGAGAGAGAGATGGAGAGAGAGATGGAGAGAGAGATGGAGAGAGAGATGGAGAGAGAGATGGAGAGAGAGATGGCGAGATAGATGGAGAGAGAGATGGAGAGGGAGATGGAGAGAGAGATGGAGGGAGAGATGGAGGGAGAGATGGAGGGAGATAGATGGGGAGAGAGAGATGGAGAGAGAGATGGAGAGAGATAGAGAGAGATAGATGGAGAGATGGAGAGAGATAGATGGAAAGAGATAGAGATAGATGGAGAGATGGAGAGATAGAGATAGATGGAGATAGATGGAGAGAGATGGAGAGAGATAGATGGAGAGGGAGATGGAGAGGGAGATGGAGAGAGAGATGGAGGGAGAGATGGAGAGAGATAGATGGAGAGAGATGGAGGGAGAGATGGAGAGAGATAGATGGGGATAAATAGATGGAGGGAGAGATGGAGGGAGAGATGGAAAGAGAGAGATGGAGAGAGAGATGGAGAGAGAGATGGAGAGAGAGATGGAGGGAGAGATAGAGAGAGATAGATGGAGATAGATGGAGAGAGAGATGGAGAGATAGATGGAGAGAGATGGAGAGAGAGATGGAGAGAGATAGATGGGGATAGAGATGGAGAGAGAGATGGAAAGAGATAGATGGAGAGAGAGATGGAGAGAGATAGATGGAGAGATAGATGGAGAGATAGATGGAGAGAGATAGATGGAAAGAGATTGATGGAGAGAGAGAGATGGAGAGAGAGAGATGGAGAGAGATAGATGGAGAGAGAGATGGAGAGATAGATGGAGAGAAAGATGGAGAGATAGATGGAGAGAGATAGATGGGGATAGATAGATGGAGAGAGAGATGGAGAGGGAGATAGAGAGATAGATGGAGAGAGATGGAGAGAGATAGATGGAGAGAGAGATAGATAGAGAGATAGAGAGAGATAGATGGAGAGAGATAGATGGAGAGAGATAGATGGAGAGAGATGGAGAGAGATAGATGGAGAGAGAGATAGATAGAGAGAGATAGAGAGAGATAGATGGAGAGAGATAGATGGAGAGAGATAGATGGAGAGAGATGGAGAGAGAGATAGAGAGAGAGATGGAGAGAGAGATGGAGAGACTGGAGATGGATGGAGATGGATGGAGAGAGAGGGGGATGGAGATAGATCGATGGAGACTTTAGACTTTGAAACAACTTTTATTGCCGCCACCAGTAACATCACTGGAGGCGATTTCGATATGAAATACACAAAGTCACCAGAAAACAAATGAAAATAAACGCTACAAATCAACGCGCTGTGGCGCTAAAAGCACCGCGCACACCACGAAAGAAAAGTCACGTGGTGGTGGTCATCGTGCACGCCACGTTGACGAGCGAGCGCTTCATAGTTCATAGTTAGTTAGTTCATAGTTCATTTATTTGGTATAGCCCTGTGAGCCATTCGGCTCTTGAATCGGGTGCAACCGCAACAAACAAAAAACATGAACAAGAAAACATCTTAAAGTGATTATGTGACTGTGCAAACAGAAAATACAGGTAAAAAAATATCAAAATATTCCTGAAATAGCACCGTACACCAACGCTGTGTGCAAAAATCCCAGTGGGATGGAAGTCAAATAACAACAACAACCACAAGACAACTAAGATTAAGGCCATCAGTCTAACTCCGTACTACAATAAACAAAAACATGGCCAAAACAAAAAAAAACTTTTCGAAATCACTGTGACCGAATTTTTAACAATAAACTACATAAATAAATTATAACACCAAAATCTAGAGCCCATAGCTGGCTGCATGAGTCACTCCACAACAGACGGTGAACACGAGAGATGGAGAGAGAGAGAGATGGAAAGAGAGAGATGGAGAGAGAGAGAGAGATGGGGAGAGAGATAGAGAGAGATGGAGAGACATTGGAGAAGATATTACACTGATCAGTTTATGGAGGAAGAGAGAGAGAGAGAGGGATGGAGAGAGAGATGGAGAGCGATGGGGGTAGTGGGAGGGGGGGGGGCGTGTTGACACGCGTGCCCCAGAGGGAGGTGCCCACAAAAGCAGCTCAATTGAATTTCGCGCTCCATTTGACCGCGATTAGGGGAGCCGCCCCCTCCACCCGTGCCCCCCCCCCCAACCCCACCCCCCTCCACCCGTGCCCCCCCCAACCCCACCCCCCTCCCCCCGTGCCCCCCCAACCCCACCCCCCTCCACCCGTGCCCCCCCAACCCCACCCCCCTCCACCCGTGGCCCCCCAACCCCACCCCCCGCCGCCCCCTCCGCCCCGCCCCCCCCACCACGCTCGCGCGTCGCTGCCACCGTTAGCGGTCGCGCATTATTTATTTATTTATCCGGGCCCTCCCCGGTGTTTTTTATTAATTCTCGATGCACACATGGAGACGTGCATTGAGATTATTTTGCCGCTCTGAATGTCCCCACGTGATGACACGCCGCTTTGTTTTGGGCTATCATTTGTGGTGGCCAGGTGGCTTTCTGAAAAGTACAAAATAAGTTAATTCCTCGGCGGGCTTTGCCGGGTAGGAACGGATGGTTTAGCTGTATTTGAATGCGTTTCGGACGATTTTGTTTGCCTTACATTGTACTTTGCACTCGTGTTTTTGTATTGACTGTCGTCTTAACGTTCTTACCCGCACCAACTGGACATCTGTGGAAAAAGAGCGTATATAGCTCATCGGATTCCTCCAGTATAAATACATCTTCTGATTCTGATTGTTTGCCTTAACGAATAAACGCAACGCTGAGTCCGATGGCTGTTTTAAAGATAGAAGCTGCGCTGATTGGGACGTAAAACCGTAGAGCCTAGGAGGAAAGCCATGCAGAGCAGCGGGGGGGAGAGAGAGAACGTGCAAACTCCACGCAGAAAGGCGGCCCAAGTCAGGAATCGAGTCTATGCATTTTTATTTGGGGTGCCACGGTGGCTAGGAGATGTTAACTACCTCGCCTGGTATGCAGGAGGTCGTGGGTTCGATCCCGACCATGACGCCTGCTGTATATTTGGAGTTTGCGTGTCTCTCATCATCATCACGGTGGCTAGGAGATATTATCTCTCTCGTCCGGTCTACAGAAGGTCGTGGGTTCGATTCTGACCGTGACGCCTGCTGTATATTTGGAGTTTGTGTGTCTCTCTCTCATCATCATCACGGTGGCTAGGAGATGTTAACTACCTCGCCTGGTATGCAGGAGGTCGTGGGTTCGATCCCGACCATAACGCCTGCTGTATATTTGGAGTTTGCGTCTATCTCTCATCATCATCATCACGGTGGCTAGGAGATATTGTCTCTCTCGTCCGGTCTACAGAAGGTCGTGGGTTCGATTCTGACCGTGACGCCTGCTGTATATTTGGAGTTTGCGTGTCTCTCTCCCCGTGGTCGCGTAGTTTTTTTCTGGGTCCTCCGGTTTCCCCCTCCACATTTAGAATCAACATCACGCGTTTAGATTATTTGGCTGCTATAAATGTCCACATGATGATAAGCCAACTTCGTTGAGCTATCCTTTGTGGCCAAGTCGCTTCCGTAAAAAGAGCTATACAGCTCGGTGGGCAATTACCTGGTAAAATAAAAAAAATATAGATTCAGTTGAGTTTATTAATATTTTAATAATTTTATAATTTTAGAGCTTTGTCAGTCCACGGCTGCGCAGACCTCCGCGTGGCATCTCGCCACATGTGAGGTGGGTTCCCCTTGGGGCATCCTGGCCTCGTTAAAAAAATAATTGGCCGAACTTCCCAACGCAGGATCCCCTCCTGAAATGCATCCTGGGTCTGGACAGATTGACTACAATAATACGGATAAATAATACACAACCCTTTGTCAATTCACTACTGGATGAAGACCTCGCACCGTGTAAGTCGTGGTGAATTATTTAGCCATACTTCACCACGCTGGTCAATGCGGGTTGGTGAAGATAAGAGGCCCAGGACTGGTTTAGATATTGCTCCCTGCTCATGTTAGCCTTGGCCGTGAATCAAACTCGGGTTGGCGAATTTATAGTGCAGCGTGCCAACCGTTGCAGCGTGCCAATGACTGATGTGGCTTTGCACATTAGTCCTGGTGCGGTGTGTAAACATAACCACTGGGAAGACAAAGGCGGCCGGACGTGGTGCTGGCCACCCACCCCCTCGTGTGCCGTGCCGCCCAAAAGTCTGTGAAGGCTGTACGGGGGATCTTTGTCTTTGTGCAGCTGACTGTGACTCCCACTGCAAACCCTCCAAGGGGAAACTCAAGCTCAACATACGGAAGTACTGCAAGAAGGACTACGGTAAGCTACGCACACACGCGCACGCCGCCCAGAACGACACACGCCGTCTGGAACCACCTCACACACCGCCCAGAACCACACACACCGCCCAGAACCACACACGCCGTCTGGAACCACCACACACACCGCCCAGAACCACACACGCCGCCCAGAACCACACACGCTGTCTGGAACCACCACACACACCGCCCAGAATCACACACGCTGTCTGGAACCACACACACACCGCCCCTGGTGTGGCAACGGCGGACAGACTCGTGTCCATGTGCCGCACGGAGGCGGTGGTGAATCGGCGCCGCTCACAGCGAGCGGGCGAGTGAGCGGGGCCCGGTCTGGAGAGGTTGTCCCGAGAGCTTCGCGAAGGGGGCCCCCACGCTGTTAGATTTTCCCACGACCGCCTGTTTGTTCGGGGGGGGGGGGGGGGTGCGACGGAGGGGCCACGGGCGGCGGGAGAGTAATTTGGGAGGCCAAATAATTTGTGCCTTTTTAGGGGAAACAAAAGGGGAGCGCGACGCCTCACGGCACCGCGTGTCCGATCCCTCCTCCTGCTGGGGTGGGGGGGTGCCGAGAGTGGGGGGCAGTGTGGGGGGAGGGCGGGGGCGGGGGGGGGTGCTGAGATTTAATTTAATTCCTCAGAACCTTAGGAGGAGGAGGAAGAAGACACAAACAAAACAAGTTGTTCTGTCAGTAACGGTCACTATGGCTGCACGCGAGGCTGGCCTTTGCACAGAATTTTCATCAGTCATTGTTGTCTCTCGAGTCCCAAAGCCCCGCCACCGAGAAATAGAGCGGCCGTGGCTCACACAGCCACCGCCACCCACCCCCACCACCCCCTCCAACACCATGAGAATTAAAGAAAGGAGAGCAGCGAAGGGCCTCCGTATTTTAAACACGGCGCTTTGTGCCGCCCGCATTGCGCTGCGTCTCTCCGGCGACCGTTGCTGAGCCACGCACGGGGGGGGAGGGAGGGATGGGAGGGGGGGTCGCTACCAACTCCCCCCCCCCCCCCTCTTTTCTCCCCTCCCCCCCAGCTCGGTCAAGATGAGATCCGGCAGGGAGAGGTAAATAAATTCGGGAGTGCGGAGAGAGATTCGGGCGAGAGAGGGGACAGAGATAATGTCAGGAGCGGCAGGATGGGAATAAGACTATATATTTACACTGGAGGAATCCGATGAGCTTTGAAGCTCTTTTTTTCGCAGATGTCCAATAGGGGCGGCTAAAAACTTTACAACATCAACACCAACCAGTACAGAAACACGACAGGAGCGCTAAGCATAGGAAAGGTAAACATAACGAGCTGTGGTTGGTGTTAGTGCCCTCCTCCTCCCTAACGCTGCCGCGTGTGGTCGCATCGTTCACGTCGCATCTCATCTCAACGCGTTTGAGAGTGGCACCCCCGGTATCAGCTGTCCCTGTGCAGCGCAAGGTGACTCAGCAGCGGGCCTGCAAAGGGACATCAGTCAGCTGCCGGCACGGGGGGCGATGATTGCCTCTGCTGTTGCTGCTGCTTCTTCTGCTGAGCACGATCCCATTCGAGCAACTTGAGGGGCAGCTTTTAGAATTTCGCAAATTTGGGAGGAGACGCAGAGGAGAGAGAGAGTTGGGGGGAGGGTGGGTATGTGGGAGAGGGGCTAAAGATGAAAGTGGGGAGAGAGGTGCGAGCGGGGAGAGAGGGGAGCGTGGGGAAAGAGGGTGGAGAGAGGGGCAGAGACGGTGGAGAGAGGGTGGGGAGATAGGGGAGAGCAGGGAGGAGATTTCAGGCCTCTTTGTTGACTGGGCTCTGGTGCCGCGGCAGCTGAAAGAGCAATACCGACGAGAACAAAGTTTGCCTTCCTTTATTTGGATCTCCCCTAGACGGCCTCACCACCCAGCCTCACCGCCTCGGCCTCACCAATCAACCTCACCACCCGGGCTCACCACTCCGGCTCACCACCACGGCCGCACCACCAACCATCACCAACTAGCCTCATAAAACAGCCTCATCACTCGGCCTCACCATCCAGCCTCACCACCCATCCTCGAGACTCACCACCCAGCCTCACCACCCAGCCTCACCTCCCAGCCTCTAGACTCACCACCCGGCCACACTACCCAGCTTCGAGACTGACCACCCGGCCTCACCACCCTGCCTCTAGACTCACCTCCCAGCCTCTAGACTCACCACCCAGCCTCACCACCCTGCCTCTAGACTCACCACCCAGTCTCACCACCCTGCCTCTAGACTCACCACCCGGCCTCACCACCCGGCCTCTAGACTCACCACAGTCTCTAGACTCACCACCCAGCCACACCACCCAGCCACACCACCCAGCCTCGAGACTCACCACCCGGCCTCACCACCCAGCCTCTAGACTCACCACCCAGTCTCACCACCCTGCCTCTAGACTCACCACCCGGCCTCACCACCCTGCCTCTAGACTCACCACCCAGCCTCTAGACTCACCACCCAGCCTCTAGACTCACCACCCGGCTTCACCACCCTGCCTCTAGACTCACCACCCAGCCTCTAGACTCACCACCCAGCCTCTAGACTCACCACCCAGCCTCTAGACTCACCATCCAACCTCACCACCCAGCCTCTAAACTGACCACCCAACCTCTAGATTGACCACCCAGCCTCACCACGCAGCCTCTAGACTCACCACCCAGCCTCACCACCCAGCCTCAAGACTCACCACCCAGCCTCACCACCCAGCCTCTAGACTCACCACCCAGCCTCACCACCCAGCCTCTAGACTCACCACCCAGACTCACCACCCAGCCTCTAGACTCACCACCCAGCCTCACCACCGAGCCTCTAGACTCACCACTCAGCCTCACCACGCTGCTTCTAGACTCACCACCCAGCCTCACCACGCAGCCTCTAGACTCACCACCCAGCCTCACCACCCTGCCTCTAGACTCACCACCCAGCCTCACCACCCAGCCTCTAGACTCACCACCCAGCCTCACCACCCAGCCTCTAGACTGACCACCCAGCCTCTAGATTGACCACCCAGTCTCACCACCCTGCCTCTAGACTGGCCATTCAGCCTCACCACCCTGCCTCTAGACTGACCATCCAGCCTCACCACGCTGCCTCTAGATTCACCACCTGGCCTCACCAACCTGCCTCTAGACTCACCACCCAGCCCATCAACACGCCACTACTCGCGAGACTCCAGTTTAAAAACGGGGTGGCCAAAAGCCCGGATTCGAACCCAGGATGTTGAGTGGCGATGGCTCCGATAGCTCTGAGCCGCCCGGCCACCCCCGGGACTTTAACGCCGTGGAGCGGCCACCTCCATCAGCGTGGCTCACGGTGGAACATTCATCTTGCTCGGAGTTCCTCCTGTCTGCCGCGTCGACCGTGCAGGTTTCACAAGCGCGCATTGCAGTTGGGCCACATGCAAACAAACGACGAAAAAACAATAGCATTCTATCCGTCTTGATTTTTTTTGTGGCGAACGCGAACGATTTGCGCTTCTGTACGTCTCACCTCTACACCCCGAGACGGGACGCAGCGAACGCGACTCAATTTGTCGATCCCAAGGGGGTTGACGGGGTTGAGTCAACCCCACTCCCTCCACCCCACTCAGACCGCGATTTGAACTCGCGACCTTCGGCCGGGCCGGACTGAACCAAAACCGCGTCGCCCCCTTTGTGAACGTCGCACGCGGTGGATGACTCGAGACTCAACTCAAGCGAACTCCCCACCCGCCTCGCCCTCCCTCCCTCCCTCTCTCCCGCCCGTGCAGCCCTGCAGCTGCACGTGCTGGACGAGTCGGCGGCGGGCGAGTGGACGCGCTACACGGTCAACATCATCTCCGTCTTCAAGCGCGGCGGCGTGAGCGGAGGAGGCACCGGCGGCACCGGCGGCACCGGCGGCATGGCACCTCGCCGGGCCCAGCTGCGCCAGGCCCTGTGGGCGCGCTCCCGCGACCTCGCCTGCCACTGCCCCCCGCGTTTCCGCGCCGGCAAGAAGTACCTGCTGCTGGGTGGGGGGCCCGCCGAGCACGCCGCCCCCTCCGCGACGGGCGGCCTCGTGGCCGACAAGGACAGCCTGGCGGCGCCGTGGCAGGACGTGTGGGCGCGCCGGCTCAGAAAGCTGCAGCGCCGCGAGAAGAAGGGCAAGTGCCGCAAGGAGTACTAGCGGCAGGGCGCCCCCCCCCCCTCTGCCCCCCCTGCCCCCCACCGCCGCTTGGCGACACATTGGTACGTTACCGTGAGGTTACAGCGTGACGACCCGAAATGTCAAATTTATTTGGTCAAGCCACTGCCTGAATGGAAGGCCTCGCCACGCCATGTCGTTCATGGGAATTGTTTGACCATACTTCACCACGCTGGTCAGTGTGGGTTGTTGAAGCTCAGCGCCCGGGGGGAGTGGGGGATGGGGTTGAGTGGAGAGGGGGCTAGGATCGGTTCTGACATCGTCTTGCCACTGATGTTAGCTGTGGCCGGTAATTGAGCTAGGATCTCCGCTGCCCCCTGAACGAGACCCCCCCCCCCCCCAGCCTCCTCCCGTTCCGTTCGTTTTTTTTTTCGGAAGCGACAACATTGAACGGCAAACAGCGGTGAGTTTCAATCAGATGCTGTGAATCATTGCAGGTGATGCGTAGGTATCCCTGGGTCACGGGGTCATCCGGGGGGGGGGTGAGAGGGGGTGAGGGGGAGGGTGATCCGATGTCCCGCAGTTCTCGTTCCGCATCTCTCCAGGGACCTCCGATCAACATTGTCGACGTCGTCGTCAACATCATCATCATCATTACCGCATCGGTCGAGATCATTTTGTACATTGTCTATTTTTAAGAGAGGCTTAGTTTTCGTTTGGCATAAATCCTTTGAAGAGAAGTTGCGCGTTAGGCGTTTCTCGCGTGTGTTTTAATGGAAGCAGAAGCCGAGGGTTGCGAAGCGGAGGGAACGCTCCGCGTGGATCGGCGTTCCGAGCGAAGCTACCCGGGGAAATGGAGGGGGGTGAAGGGGGGAGGGTGAAGGGGCGAGGCCGGTGGCGTCGATGATCAACGCAGAGGGGTGTCAGCGGCGTCTTTCGGAAGTTCGGTGGGGGGTGGGGGGGTTAAACGTTCACGATTCACGGTGCAAATACGCACACAGTTTTTTTATTCTCTCTAAATACTGGTACTAAAAAAATATATATATATATACACGTGTGTAATTCAATGGAAGGAGTGTTTGGGGGGTGGTGATGGTAGTGGAGGGGGGGGGGGGGATAAACAAAACGAGTTATTTAATAACTTTTAAGATATTGCGAAGTTTGCGTAGGAACTGTTAGCGCGCCGCGACGAAGCGGGAATTAACGCCGACACTACTAACGCCTTGCCTGAATAAAGATGGGTTCCTTCCTGCCTGGGAGTACGCATTCTGAACTGTGCTCCCCCACCACAGTCACAAACAGTGGAGTCACAACCAGGCTGGACTCACAACCACAGTCACATCCACGGTGAAGTCACATCCACGGTGAAGTCACATCCACGGTGAAGTCACAACCGTGGAGTCACAGCCACAGAATAACAACCATGGTGGAGTCATATCCACAGTGACATGCACAGTGGAGTCACAACTAAAGAGTAGCAGCCACGGTGGAGTCACAACCAGGCTGAAGTCACAACCACGGTCACATCGACAGTGGAGTCACAACCATGGAATAGCAACCACGGTGGAGTGCCAACCACATTCACATCCACAGTGGAGTCACAACCATGATAGTCACATCCACGGTCACATCCACGGTGAAGTCACATCCACGGTGGAGTCACAACCATGGAATAGCAACCAGGGTGGAGTGACAACCACAGTCACATCCACAGTGGAGTCACAACAACGGTGGAGTCACAACCACAGTCACATCCACAGTGGAGTCACAACCATGGAATAGCAACCAGGGTGGCGTCACAACCACATTCACATCCACAGTGGAGTCACAACAACGGTGGAGTCACAACCACAGTCACATCCACAGTGGAGTCACAACAACGGTGGAGTCACAACCACATTCACATCCACAGTGGAGTCACAACAACGGTGGAGTCACAACCACATCCACAGTGGAGTCACAACAACGGTGGAGTCACAACCACAGTCACATCCACAGTGGAGTCACAACCACGGCGGAGTGACAACCACATTCACATCCACAGTGGAGTCACAACCACGGCGGAGTGACAACCACATTCACATCCACAGTGGAGTCACAACCACGGTGGAGTGACAACCACATTCACATCCACAGTGGAGTCACAACAACGATGGAGTCACAACCACATTCACATCCACAGTGGAGTCACAACCACGGTGGAGTGACAACCACATTCACATCCACAGTGGAGTCACAACCACGGTGGAGTGACAACCACATTCACATCCACAGTGGAGTCACAACAACGGTGGAGTCACAACCACATTCACATCCACAGTGGAGTCACAACCAAAGTGAGGGTCACGAGCCCAGTGACGTCACACCCAGGGGTATTTTGATATTTCCCCATTGTCGACCTAGGGGAAGACCCCATGACCGGTTCGGATAATCGTCACCGGTGTTTGATGGCCGTGAGCGGGAATCGAACTCGGGTCGCCGGGGTTCGGAATGCAGGGTGCTCACCGCTGCGCCACTGCTCCCTCTACGCGCACTTGTGCACACGCACACACGCACAGACATAAACAAAGCAGCCACACTCTCACTCAACCCCCTCCTCTACCCCAAGTGTGTGTGTACAAGTGTGTGTGTGTAGAAGTGTGTGTGTGTACAAGTGTGTGTGTGTACAAGTGTGTGTGTACAATTCTCTCAATGCGGTTTCAGGAAAGGTCGGTCCTGCACAGATGCCATATTTTCTGTCCGTCTGCTACAGCAGAGGTGTAGGGAATTCCAACAAGACCTACATCTCTGCTTTATTGACCTGGTCAAGGCCTATGATACCATAAGTAGGCCTGGGCTCTGGGTCGTTCTTCGTGCTTTTGGAGTACCTGACCCTCTGCTCACGATCATTAAGGACCTTCATGATGGTGAGCGGGCCCGGGTAAAACTACGTGGCCGGGAGACAGAGCCATTCCCTGTACACCTTGGGGTGCGACAGGGATGTCCTCTGGCTCCCACATTATTTAACATCTATTTTGACCACGTAGTTCGTGAAGCCTTCAATAGCTGTACCGGGGGAATCTCCATATGGTACAGATATAATGGGAGGCTAATCGATGCCCGGGTGCGGTCAAGGGATGGCTCCCTATTGCTCAACCACGTTATGTATGCTGATGATTTGGTAATAGCTGCTCAGTCAGAGGAGGAGTTGGAGACGCTGCTGCTGAGACTGGAGCGTGCCATTAAGAGGTGGGGCCTTACCATCAGCCCCACCAAAACTAAGCACCTGCCTGGGTATTTTGTACTATCGGACACTCCACCCCCACAACTCCCAATCGGTGATGGGGCAGTTGTGGAGAGAGTGGAGAGTTTCCCATACCTGGGCAGTGTGCTTATGACTGGCTCCAGTTTAACAGCAGAGGTCTCACTCCGAATCAGTCGAGCGGCAATATCTTTTCATCGGTTGCGTAACGCTGTGTGGAAGCTACCTGGTCTGTCGCTCCGCACTAAGCTTCAGGTCTTCTCGGCCACGGTCATTCCTTCCCTTCTCTACGCTTGCGAAACGTGGACCCCCCTAATGGAACATCTTCGCCAGTTAGAAACATTTAGGCTGGCCTGCCTACGATCCATCCTGGGTTTAACCAGACTGGATTGTGTGAGGAGCTCACAAATCCTTGAAAGATCTGGGCAGGGTCCCATCGGTGAGCTCCTCCGGCAGGCAAGGCTGCGATGGCTGGGTCATGTAGCCCGCATGCCCAGCCACCGCATGCCGAAACAGCTTTTGTTTGGCCGGATTGAGGGGGCTAAGCGGGCGCGGCACGGGCTAGAGAAGAGATGGAGTGATGTGGTACAGGAGGACGTGGAGCTGAGTGGACTTGCCGATGACTGGTACCAGCGGTGTCAAGATCGGCCTCTGTGGAGGAGGCTCGTGAAGGATGCTACTGGGCAGTTGGAGGCAGTCGCCCTCCAACAACAACGGAGGGCGGAGGAGCGACGCTCACAACAGCGAGCGGAGCGCCGGGTGGCTAAAGCACAGCAGGTTGGCACAGTAGGGGGCACAGGTGGTGCATCAGCCAGTCATCTCAGTCAGTCGACCCGTGGCACCTGGGTCTGCCCCGTGACCTCCTGCCAGCGGGCGTTCGACACTTCACGTGGCCTCAGGGTGCACATAGCCTGGCACAAGCGTCGTGGTGACGTCACCGCCACTTAGTGGCGAATGGCGGTTGTTGTTGTTGTGTACAAGTGTGTGTAGAAGTGTGTGTGTGTGTGCAAGTGTGTGTGTGTATGTACAAGTTTGTGTGCACAAATGTGTGTGTGTACAAGTGTGTGTGTGTGTACAAGTGTGTGTGTGTGTAAGGGACCTCACAGGGTTTTAAATCCCTTCAAGGGGATGAAGTAAAGGGGATGAGAGAGGCAGAGGTGGGGGTTGCCTAGAACGGTGGGGACCCCCCCTGCCTCCCCCCCCCCACTCGTCCACCCCCTTAATTAAGCAATTTAATTAACTATCTACAAAAAGCCTTGCGGAGTCTCAAGACTACTTTTCAAGAGGAATGTTTGGCCAATGTCGATTTTAATCCTTTTTTTTTGCTTCACGTGGCGGGAAACCAGACAACCCGAGAGAAAACCCCACACCGACGCATTACATTCGAGGGAATAACTGCGCTTCGGGGATCCGCACAGATGGATTCAGGAATCCGACTTGCCGCGCCGCCATCTTCTGGCCACCTCGCGGCTTCGAGTCGTCATGGATCCCGGCGTGATCCACCAACCCTGGCCTCTCACGCGCACAGTTGCGAAATACATACACAGCATATAGCAGTGTATGTAGAGAGAACACAACATTCGCCTTTAAAGTCCAAAGTGGTTTGCCGCGAAAATGAGCATTGCGATACTCTTGCTCCGTTTACAAGCCCTGCAGAGCCGGCGGCGGAAATTCCACGTTCCTATGGCGGGGAGCGAGTCTATTCACAGGACACACACAAAGTAGTAACCTCTTTTATCGACCCCTGCAGCGATGATGGGGCTGAGTCAATCCCACCGCCACTCTCACCCGCCCCCCCCCAAACCGGGAGTCGAACTCACACCTGGGGCCGCGTCGCATCACGTGACGAGGGGAGTCGAACTCACACCTGGGGCCACGTGGCATCACGTGACGAGGGGAGTCGAACTCACACCTGGGGCCCACGTCGCATCACGTGACAAGGGGAGTCGAACTCACACCTGGGGCCACGTCGCATCACGTGACGAGGGGAGTCGAACTCACACCTGGGGCCACGTCACATCACGTGACGAGGGGAGTCGAACTCACACCTGGGGCCACGTCGCATCACGTGACAAGGGGAGTCGAACTCACACCTGGGGCCCACGTCGCATCACGTGACAAGGGGAGTGGAACTCACACCTGGGGCCACGTCGCATCACGTGACAAGGGGAGTGGAACTCACACCTGGGGCCTCACGCCTCGCCTGGGTTTCATTGGGAGTGAGGGTTTGGGGCGGGTGGTTCGCTGGTCGTGTTGGGGTGGTTTAAAGTGAATTAGTAAATTAATTAACCAATACACGAACACGCGCTCTCAAGCATCGAGGGGCGCTTAATCCGTAGCGCGGGGGGCGGGGGGGGATGAAAGGGGAGAGGGGGGGCAGGGGGGGGGGCTGCGCTCTTGATGAGCGCCGCACTCGGAGCTCAACTCCAAGTGGCAAATTAATTAAAGTTGGAGCAGCGCAGCCATTATCCCCCTCATCCCCCAAACCCCTAGCCCCCCCTCTCCCTGCCCTCCATTTACCTCCCCAACAACCGAGTCTTTCTTAAACACAACAACCGCCAACCCCGCTCCTTGAGTACACGGGGTACGCGTGAGTACGCTGAGAGCATACGAGAGTACACGTGAGTACACGGGGGTACACGTTGGTGCACGTGGGTACGCGGGGGTACACACGAGGATACGCATACAGGAGTACACAGGAGTACATGTGGGTACACGTGATCACACGTGAGAGTATACGGGGGTACACGTGAGCACACGGGGGATTTCACGGCCCCACTCGCAACAACCGAGGGGTGTCATTTTCACCGCCAACGACCCACGAGGGACGACAGGGGAGCGGTGACGCAGTGATTAGCGTACGGCTCGATTCCCCGGCCACGGCTAACGTCAGTCGTGACCGATAGCTGCTACCGGGATTCCGGGTGTCTCCCCAGCGTCCCCCATCTGATCGCTGATCGCTGCTGCCTGAGTTGATGGTGACAGCGGCGCTGGCGGTTGTGGTGGCCACG